GCCCTCCAGGGCAGTCCTAAATCTCTCGCAGCTCATGTGTAACCTTTCCTCGCACAACTCGCACTGTACCATGTCGTCCCAACACTCGGGCATTGAACAATGACAAAATAAATTAGTGTCACAAGTTTGTCTCTTATTGAATCTAGCGGTGTTCGACTAGCGCGGAAAAGGTTCAAAAACGACCTCTCTCCAGACATTAAACTAAATTCTTGCCCATTTTCCCTTGGTCAAAAGAAACATCCGACGGGATGCCAGTTCGTATGGATTAACGATACGCATGTTTTGAATTAAAAACATACTTTAGTAAGCACTGAAACGTAAATTATCATCCATTTTTACTAGAACGTTAAGGGTGATGTTTTCACTCAGTTTTGTTTGGGGGTCCAAATCCACTAGCGGATTTGGACTGGGGGGTCCTTATCCCCTAGCGGATTTGGACCGGGGGGTCCATATTCGCCAGCGGATTTGGACCGGGGGGTCCAAATCTAGGGGGGTCCAAATCTAGGGGGGTCCAAATCCGCTGGGACACCCCGGGACGACGTATCGAGTTATTTGAAGTACTATCAGCTATCCAGCGAAATCCTCGATTACAAGTTAATTTTGTTTCGTTCCGGTCAGTTTGACCTCGATATGGAAAAAAATATATCAGTTATTGGTATGTTCTAAACATCTGAACACTTTAAGAAACATTAGAAATGCGGTGGAGGTACTTGTTAACAGCCACAGCACAAGGGAAAATGTGAGGCAGTAAAAGAAAGCCAGACTGACTGGAGATGTTTTTGAAGTTTTCGGAATTTCAGTTGTAGTCGGATCACATGGGTAATATATTTGCAATTTCTCGAGAGTGAAGGCTATTATTTAACTAAAAATTGGTTCGTAAGTGCCTATCTGGGCTATATGCAATAGCAGACAAAACCAGAATTCTCTTGACAAAATCAAAGGACAAATTGTGTCATGACGAATTTTTGTCTCGATTTTTGCATCCGCTTAAAACTTCAAAACTGTCAAATTTCGTTAGAGCTTGATCTGCTCGTGAGACCAGCTGGCATAGTTTACCAATGGACTCAAACTCCAGTTTCAGGATTCATCGGACGTCGTTTCAAAGTTTTAAAATCCACGAGTTTCGCGACAAAAGAAAGTTAATACCTTCCAGGTAAATTTTAGTGAGTTCAATAACAAGCTGGTGGCAGCTTTTACGACAAATGGCGTTGAAAACTCAGTCTCCTTTCACTGCCTCACATTCTTCTTTTTGCTCTGGATGCTAAAAAATACTTTTACTATATTTCCAGTGTCCTTTAAGGTTTTCTGGTGTTTAGAACATACCACTAACTGTTTTATTTTTTCCAAATCAGGGCTGAAATACCCAAAGCCACTCCAATCTTTGCTTTCCGTGAATCAAGTAAACATTTAAACGATAAATTTCTCATTAAAATGTAAAATTCTTCAGTCCATTTGAATAACTTTCGATTTTAATTCGTTACATTAACTAATTCTCCAACTCGTAGAACCTGCAAAACAGGTCGTATGACAAAAAGAAAAGTTTGCATAATCACGTCACGCAATACATCAAGCTGGGTTTGTCCAGTTGATTTTGATGGTCGCAGGGAAATGTCGAGTTTGTCGCTCAAAACCGTTGTGGTCCATAAGAGCGTAACATCATTAATGACGGAAAAAATTTGCAGAAAGGAGGGTTAGTTCATCAGGTTCCGTATACTAAATCTCGGGAGAAACTGCAAGAATTGTTTCGGAGTGTATGCGTGTTGTTTTGTAAATATAAACACTGCAACCTATTTTAACTTGTTTTTGTGTCCTTTTCAGCAACGCGATATGTCTGTTATGACCAGAGTGCCAAATTTTATTCTTTAATTTTGATCTTCTCCACACTGTGCATAGTTCATGACCTGATATTTCAACGTTAATTATCGAGAAGGCGCCTTCCGATCACCTTTGTCTATTTTGTAAGTCACGCAAGCGCGCAAGCGTTACCACCGATCACGTTTACGCAACGTTTTAGAACAACTCGGCATCTAATCTCCACTCAGTTGCTGTGAAAACCTAAAATCCTCAGCGTAGAAGATAAACGAACGAACTTTGAACTGTCAAAAGGAGATCTTGGTCTATTCCAAGAATCATGCAAATGATCTTTGACACGAGCGCAATTGAGCAAACACATGGATTTGCGTTGTTTTTAAGAAGTTGGTGGATGGAAGCTAGAGATATACCCGCGGGTTTGAGGCAATCTGTGACCTCATTGGTGTATAAACTATGCACAGATATACTTTTTCAGCCCGATTAACGCCTGCATTTTGAGAATTCTTTCGTACAAAGTAGTGAATTTTGATATGCAAATTAAGGTCGAAGAGAAGGGTCTCCTCTGGTCACGCTGGTATGAAAAAATATTTCAGCTGAAGTTTCCAAATTTTGTCTGTGAACTAACTCAATACACCTTGTAACTTGTAGCAAGATAGAATTCTGTGAGCTACATTGTTGCAGTCGCTGCGCGCTGGACAAAATCTTTGAAATGGACACTTTCGATCGCCGTTCACAGGGGTGGTCTGGCCAAAAATCATTTTTGGCTTGTGGCGATGCAAAAGAAGAGAATTGAAGGACAACTAAACTATTTTTGAAACATGTGTCCTAAACCCTTCTCACGGGCAAAAAATAAAAGAAAAAAGAAGAGAATTGGAGGACAACTAAACTATTTTTGAAACGTGTGTCCTAAACCCTTTTCATGGGCAAAAAATAAAAGAAAACTTTTTTCCGACGGGAAGTCGAGAGGACCGCTCTTAGCGGGAGTGGCACTTAATTAGCATTCTTAAATTAAACTAATTTTATTCTCTTTCATTCTAAAAAACTGAAACCACACAAGTCACTCAGTCTAAAGATTAATGGTGTGAATATCCAACAAGTTTCCATAGTTGAATAACTAGGTATTACCTTTGACTCAAATCTAAGATCGAAGAATCATATTCATTTGATGAGCTTTGCCTAAATCTGTCAAAACCTGTAGGAATCTCCTCAAAATTGAGTTACTATGTTGGCTTTGATATACTTTGTATGCTTAACTTTTCACTAATCTACCCCTTTCTCACTCATGGTATCCTAGTTTGGGGTTTAACATATCTAACTTATTTAAAGCCAGTGATTACTTTGCAAAAGTGTATAGTCAGAATTATGACATTTTCTGAACCTGCATCACATTCAGAACCACTGCTAAAATCTCTGAACCTCTTAAAATTTTCTGATACCATTCATCTTGAGATTATTTCTTTTGTTTATCAGTGGTCTCACAAAATAACTCCTTGTTTTACTGATTACTTTAAGCCAATATCTTCTGTTCATTCATATTAAACACATCAATCACTGAATAAGAATCTGTTTGTAAACCCAGTTCAAACAACTCAATGTGGTATTTGTTCTCTTCGTTACACTGGTGCCTCACTCTGGAATTCATTTCCAACTAATGTAAACAAATCACTCCCTCTTTTAGATTTCGTCAAAATATAAAGAATTTTATGATTGACAGTTATAATAGTGTTATTAATTCTTAAATAGTTTGCGTAAATATATTTCAATTCTTAGTAGTTAGTATGAAAAGCAATACTTTTTATTTAAATTGTTATTAGCACTGTATTCCTTTTGTTTGAATTATTTGCTATGGGACACCTGCTCGATTAGTACCTAAAACTATTTGGCTGTCCCAACTCCACACAATTAACATAGTATTTAAATATTTACTCATATGTTAAACTTTTTGCACTGGGCGGTAACATTTCTTTATTTTTTGTCATGTGGATGCGAAACTGCCACCTAAACACTGGACTATACTTGTTTTTGAAAATATGGTCAATTCCCGTTTTCAATCCTTAACTGTTGAGTCACACGTATGCCTTTTAAGTCGACTTGTTCCAGTGCTAAATGATACTCACTGGTTATCACAAAACATCCATCAGTTAATTCACGTTTCCCTTTGTGTGTGCAGTTTATCATTACTAAATTGACATATCTTCCTCTTGTCATTGATCTTATCTGAACGACAGAGATCCCCCCATAGCCCTTAGCTTAGCAGCATGGTATTCACGAGCGCTATCGCAATTTTAACGTTTGCACCTTTACTATAAAAGTGGGACAATCGTACAGAGCGATCTTCTCTCTTTTCATGTACACAATTTTCCGGCTTAAAGTGCCATTTCTCCACAGCCCACGCATGCATCTTGATTATTTGTACAGTTTGGTTTTTTCCTTTTTCTACATAATATTTTGATCTGGTCTGCAGTTAGCAGACACTTATCAAGTCATGTTCACTGTTTAAGAAATTGGAAAAAGATTCCATATTCTCTCAAGTCAATGCGAAGTAAAGAATCGTTTTGTCATTGTCTCTGAGAGTACTTACTGTAATTTACGAAACGAAACAGAATGAAAAAAAGTCATTTGAGAGATTTGCAAAAAAGGAAATTTGTAGTTGTTTTTTAATCCTCAATGGACCAGGTAAAGAGGATGATCAGGAACATCATTGTCTTTAGCTCTTGAACGAGCTCGATGACCTACATTTTTCTTTTCTTTGGCATAATTTTGATGTACAATTTATCCCCTTTAAATAAGGGAAATTATTCGAAGAGGAAAAAAATATAAAGGTAAAAGCGTGCACGAAGCCCGTTACTCGAGAATGCAAATTATGACCTTGAAAGGAACGACTCGTGGAACGTTTTGAGTCGATGTCGTTTCAATTTGCGTGATTTTCCCACAAATTGTATATCCAATTGTTTCATATGCTCGAGACTTTCTACCCATCAAGTTTTTAAAAGTGTTATTTTAAAAACCCTCCCTTCCAGCCGCAGCAAAACGTAACGTGAACCGATGAAATGACGCGTGTTATTAGTGCCAGTACAGGCATAAATGGGGTAAGTTTGGCCCATTAAATCTCCTAAACAAGCACGGTGATATATCTTTTTTATTGTATTTTTCGAAACAAACATTAATAAGGAACATTAAACTGAGGAAAGTTTGAAAAAAATTGTTCGATAATCTTTTTTTCTAAGGAATCACCCCAAAAGATGTGTAACACGAGTTGAGGTAAACCAACCAGAGAAATGTATGGGAAAAAAATCTCTCCTGCGATCGCGCCGTTTGTTTTCATTTTCAGTGCCGACAGCCTCAACTGAAAGCATGCAGAGACTTTATCTACGTTCCCGAATTCCGCCAGTTGCATCCCTTATCCCGCTACCATGGCAATTATCTATTTGCTACCGTTTTACACAGCAACCTGTTCAAGAGAAACACAGGATATTTTCTAGGTTTTTCTCGGGTCAAATTTAATTTTTGCTTATTTGGAATGGCTTTGCAATTGTAAGCGAACATCAAGGCGAAATGGGAGTGCCAAGAAAAATCGTGACCAGATGACAACTAACATGTCAAAACATAGGGATACGTTACGGAGACGGCGAATTAATTCACCCGCCGCTCTTCATTGTAATTCTCTATATTGTCTCTAAACTAAAAACAATAAATTAAGAGGAACTAATACAAGAACACACGTGGCGACTAGCAAACGAAATACAATGAAAATAACTAAGAGAAACCTAAGAGACAAAATAAACATGAGATAATGAACAAAATACCAAGATGTGCCAGATGAGCTTGCCCCGAAATTGAAATAAAAGAACACTTAAATTGCTTAGAAAATTTCTACGCGACCACGAGGGAGCGATGTTGCTTAATTAATGTACAAAACATAAATAGACAATGGCTAGAAAGTTATGAGGAAAGCTAGACGAAAATAGAAACAGAATATAAAAAACTTTCATATCGATCCCGCAACGCCGATGGCACTCACAACTAAAAAACTTGATCGACGACGACGAAAACCAAACTACAACTAAAGACGCGAGGAATACGAAAACTGACAAAACTAAAGTGAAATTGAAACCTTAAAGTCTTAGCCCAACTGCAACGCACAGTCACGCAATTAGTATAGGTAATCTCAATATTTCGAGTGCAATTTGGAATAAATAAGAGCGAGTAAATTTTTTCAAAGACTGACAAAATTGCAGGAACCTGTTTGGTACGGTGTGATTTTGAATAAGGTGCCATTTCCCCATCAGTACGTTTCTAAAGTTAGGTACAGCCCGATTATATTATATTACAAAAGGCAATATTTACTTCTGTGAACTGTTTCTTTTGTTTTTTAAGTGGGCCCTCTCTACTAGAGCAGACAACTGTAGACTTTCTCCAGAACTTCGTCAGGTATATTCTATCCTTTCTTTAGTCGTCTTTTTAAGCTTTGTGCGTTTTTTATAAAATGTAGAGCGCGTCAGATTTGTTTTCAGGATGCGTAACGCTTCTCCTTTAAGCCACGTAAAAAGCGTTCACGGGCCGGCACGACTCCTGCCAGGCGTTGAGTTAATATGAGCGAATTTCTCCGCAGTTGCTTCTATGTTAACAAAAATAGAGGCATGGTTGACAAGGAATCCTTTAAAATGCTGCATCAAAATCATTCCCCAAATATTGAAGGTTTTGTTGACTAAACCTTACAAGAGGCTTTGAAAAAAATTAACCAAATTTTAGTGGCTTGTTTTATACCTAAACTACTTTTTTTAACTTTATCGGTTTCGCTTTACTTAAAATTCTTGCGTACGTCAACATTGTTTCGTGCTTATTATATCAGAAAAACAATTTTTCGTAAAAGACAAAAAAAAAGTTCTTGAGTACGTAACTAACGCATCGTTCTGAGAAAATTGAAATAGATCTCCCTTAACTCTTTTTTCAATTTCAGTGAAATGCCGGATAAAGTATTTTCTCTAATTGTTTATGTTATTTATCCATCTAAAAGTCTTTTAACTCCGTTTCCTTCAAGTAATTCTCATCATTTAATCTGTCGGGGTCATTTCTCTGCAAAAAAATAAATAGCAACAATTTATCATGAACTTAATCATATTTTTTATTTAAAGCAAATACAATTATACCAAGCACAATATATGAAAATATATATATATATATGTGAAACACTAGTGTCTGATCGGCAGAGAGACTCTCTCGAAATTCTATATTTGACATCAGAGAGCGTCGACAGTATCTCTCTGAGAAGAAAAAAGATATATAGAAATATATTAAACTAGCCTTGATGTTAAAGGCAACAAGGGATACACGCCAACAGTCAGCGACCAATAAGTTATGGCCGCCTTCACATCTAATTTAACTTTAATTAAAACCTGTTTTCACCGAGTCTTACCTCAGCTTGTCAAACTCGAGCCTCACATCATCTCCAATCAGCGTAAACGAAGCCCACTTAGACACTTCGGTAACGCCGTTTTTTCTCATCCACTTCATGGCCTGATGAAGGGATTCACTGGCACTTTCTCCCATAACAAGGTGTTTGTAGAACTGATTCATCAGCTGCTCTGTTGCTGAGTCTGGAATGGCCCACAGCGCAACCAACACCGAACGAGCACCGGATCCTAAAAACGCACGGGCAATTCCTATAACTCCCTCGGCTCTTATCTGTCCACTTCCACTGTGACAGCAGCTAAGTACCACCAGTTTAGCTCTGACTTTCACTCGTGATACATCAGCCATCGTCAACATGTAATCTTCCTGTGGTGGGATAGCGTTTGGACTGTTGGTAGTAGGAATGGGGGAGAGGGCAATTTCTCCCCTTTCGGCGTCACCATGGGCAGCAAAATGAATCAGGCTCACTGAACTTATCCGCTCAAGTACCGCCTGCTTCGTTGCTTTCTCGTCTACCAGAGGCGGAACACCCACCAGTCGTCCGACCATCTCCGCTTCCTTTCTTGCACATGGCAATGGTTTCAACCAATCAACCTTGGGATCGCCTATTACCAAAGCACCAGTGTTGCTGTGATAGTCCTCTGGACTATCTTGAATGATCCGGAGTGTCGTCAGAGAAGGAATGACACGGATCCTATGAGTCTCCGACAGGTATTCGGCTCCCTCCTTTTCACTCAGGGCAGCAAAGGGAACTTTGTATAACCTGCGGTCTGGAACAATAATGAGTTCAGGCTCCGTAAGCAAATCATAAACGGGGGCAATAAACATTTTGTAACACAAAGATAGACTTGAAATGACTCGGTCGTCTTCGTCCTCCTCCATGAGTCGCAATCTTGCTGAACTCTTTCGCTCGGGGGAGTGAGGTAGCAATTCAACCACATTTAAAGACCGATCTTCACAATCTTCAAAGGGCAAAATACCAAGACTTCGAAAATTATCAACCAAAAAGTCACTCAAAGGCAAATCTTTGGGCAACCCAGCCTGAACTAGAATCTCTTCTAGTGGTATCCTTTTATAGAGAAATACTCCACATGTGTCAAAGATCCACAAATGCAGATAACTGTAAAAATAAGAAATGTACAGACAAGTACAGTTATTTTTCTTTATGAAAATGTTTTCAATGCCAAACCAAGATTGCGGATTAACAGAGATGTGCGTTTCAACCGAGTACTTCTCTGCCATCAAGTCTAAGAGGCCTCTGGCTCGACCTAACTCCTCAACATAAAGAGCATCGCGAACATTTCCGGTATCACAAAGCAGAGTACAAAGCAGCTTGTAGGGAAATATTCCTGAGTCCTCCAAAAATGATGTTTTGAATTCATCATTGGCACCTAAGAAAGATCTCAGCTCCTCATACTTTTCAATGCACAAATCAAGACACAAAAGGGAGTCAACGATCTTATTTTGAGTTAAATACAAAATGGCGTAACATTTAAGGATTTGGAACTCTTTTCTTCTATCTCCAATGTCTCTGGAAATGGATAAAGCTTTCTCCAAGCATACTTCCGAAACTTTATAATCTCCAACAGTTCTAGACACATCTCCAAGGTGTGCAAGACCTACCGCTTCCCCTACCTTATCACCAATTTCAGTTGTGATGACGAGCGCTTTTTGAAGATACTCTACAGCCTTGTCGTGTTGCCCGAGAGACTCAAACAGATCAGCTAGGCTTCCACAACATGCTGCTTCTCCTTTTCTTTCACCTATTTCAGTCATGATGAGAAGCGATTTTTGGAGATACTCTGTAGCCTTGTCGTACTGCCCGAGAATCCTAAATACATCACCTAGGTTTCCATAACTTGCTGCCTCTCCTCTTCTGTCGCCAATCTCAGTACTGATGGCAAGCGCTTTTTGGAAATTCTCTTCAGCCTTGTCACATTGCCCAAGCGACCGAAACACAGTACCTAGGTTTCTGTTGTCAGCTGCCTCTCCTCCTCTGTCGCCAATCTCAGTGCTGATGGCAAGCGCTTTTTGGAGATACTCTTCAGCCTTCACATATTGCCCAAGCGACTGAAACACAGTACTTAGGTTTCTGTTGTCGGCTGCCTCTCCTCCTCTGTCGCCAATCTCAGTGCTGATGGCAAGCGCTCTTTGGAGACACTCTTCAGCCTCCCCGTATTGACCAAGAAAATGAAACACCATACCTAAGTTTCTATAGTCGGTTCCCTCTCCTCTATCCCCAGTCTCAGTACTGACGGCAAGCGCTTTTTGGAGGTACTCTTTAGCCTTGTCGAATTGCTCGAGAGACCGAGACACAGTACCAAGTTGTCTATAGCATACTGCTTCCATTTTTCTGTTGCCAATTTCATTTCTGTTGACAAGCACTCTTTCAAGATACTCTTTAGCCTTCTCGTACTGCCCGAGATGGTCAAACACATTACCAAGGTTTCCATAACATAATGTTTCTCCTTTTCTGTCTCCTATTTCAGTTGTGATGAGAAGCGCTCTTTGGAGATAATCATTAGCCTTCTCGTACTGCCCGAGAAACAGACACACATTACTTAGGATTCCACAACATGATGCTTCTGCTTTTCTTTCACCCATTTCAGTTACGACGATGAGCGCTTTTTGGTAATACTCTTCAGCCTTATCGTACTGCTTGAGAGACATAAACACATTACCTACGTTTCCACAGCATAATGCTTCTCCCTTTCTGTCACCAATTTCAGTTGCTACGACAAGCGCTTTTTGGTAATACTCTTTAGCCTTGTCATATTGCCCAAGCGACTGAAACACATCACCTAGGTTTCTGTTGTCAGCTGCCTCTCCTCCTCTCTCGCCAGTCTCAGTACTAATAGCAAGCGCTTTTTGGAGATACTCTTTAGCCTTGCCGTATTGTTCGAGCGACTGAAACATACCACCAAGGCGTCTGTAGTCAGCTGCCTCTCCATTTCGGTCGCCAATATCAGTACTGATGGCAAGCGCTTTTTGGAGATACTCTTCAGCCTTATTATATTGCCCAAGCGATTGAAACACGGTACCTAGGTTTCTGTTGTCAGCTGCCTCTCTTCCTCTGTCGCCAGTCTCAGTACTGATGGCAAGCGCTTTTTGGATATACTCTTTAGCCTTGCCGTATTGTCCGAGCGACTGAAACACAGTACCAAGGCCTCTGTAGGCAGCTGCCTCTCCATTTCGGTCGCCAATATCAGTACTGATGGCAAGCGCTTTTTGGAGATACTCTTCAGCCTTGTCATATTGCCCAAGCGACTGAAATACAATACTTAGGTTTCTGTATTCAGCTGCCTCTCCTTTTCTGTCGCCAATATCAATTCTGATGGCAAGCGCTCTATTGAGATAATCTTCAGCCTTCTCGTACTGCCCGAGATGGTCAAACACATTACCAAGGTTTCCATAACATAATGTTTCTCCTTTTCTGTCTCCTATTTCAGTTGTGATGAGAAGCGCTCTTTGGAGATAATCACTAGCCTTCTCGTACTGCCCGAGAAACAGACACACATTACTTAGGATTCCACAACATGATGCTTCTGCTTTTCTTTCACCCATTTCAGTTACGACGATAAGCGCTTTTTGGTAATACTCTTCAGCCTTATCATACTGCTTGAGAGACATAAACACATTACCTACGTTTCCACAGCATAATGCTTCTCCCTTTCTGTCACCAATTTCAGTTGCAATGACAAGCGCTTTTTGGTAACATTCTTTAGCCTTGTCATATTGCCCAAGCGACTGAAACACATCACCTAGGTTTCTGTTGTCAGCTGCCTCTCCTCCTCTCTCACCAGTCTGGGTACTAATGGCAAGCGCTTTTTGGAGATACTCTTTAGCCTTGCCGTATTGTTCGAGCGACTGAAACACACTACCAAGGCTTCTGTAGTCAGCTGCCTCTCCATTTCGGTCGCCAATATCAGTACTGATGGCAAGCGCTTTTTGGAGATACTCTTCAGCCTTATTATATTGCCCAAGCGACTGAAACACGGTACCTAGGTTTCTGTTGTCAGCTGCCTCTCCTCCTCTCTCGCCAGTCTCAGTACTGATGGCAAGCGCTTTTTGGAGATACTCTTTAGCCTTGCCGTATTGTTCGAGCGACTGAAACACACTACCAAGGCGTCTGTAGTCAGCTGCCTCTCCATTTCGGTCGCCAATATCAGTACTGATGGCAAGCGCTTTTTGGAGATACTCTTCAGCCTTATTATATTGCCCAAGCGACTGAAACACGGTACCTAGGTTTCTGTTGTCAGCTGCCTCTCTTCCTCTGTCGCCAGTCTCAGTACTGATGGCAAGCGCTTTTTGGAGATACTCTTTAGCCTTGCCGTATTGTCCGAGCGACTGAAACACAGTACCAAGGCTTCTGTAGGCAGCTACCTCTCCATTTCGGTCGCCAATATCAGTACTGATGGCAAGCGCTTTTTGGAGATACTCTTCAGCCTTATTATATTGCCCAAGCGACTGAAACACGGTACCTAGGTTTCTGTTGTCAGCTGCCTCTCTTCCTCTGTGGCCAGTCTCAGTACTGATGGCAAGCGCTTTTTGGAGATACTCTTTAGCCTTGCCGTATTGTCCGAGCGACTGAAACACAGTACCAAGGCTTCTATAGTCAGCTGCCTCTCCATTTCGGTCGCCAATATCAGTACTGATGGCAAGCGCTTTTTGGAGATACTCTTCAGCCTTATTATGTTTCCCAAGCGACTGAAACACGGTACCTAGGTTTCTGTTGTCAGCTGCCTCTCTTCCTCTGTCGCCAGTCTCAGTACTGATGGCAAGCGCTTTTTGGAGATACTCTTTAGCCTTGCCGTATTGTCCGAGCGACTGAAACACAGTACCAAGGCTTCTATAGTCAGCTGCCTCTCCATTTCGGTCGCCAATATCAGTACTGATGGCAAGCGCTTTTTGGAGATACTCTTCAGCCTTATTATATTGCCCAAGCGACTGAAACACGGTACCTAGGTTTCTGTTGTCAGCTGCCTCTCTTCCTCTGTCGCCAGTCTCAGTACTGATGGCAAGCGCTCTTTGGATATACTCTTTAGCCTTGCCGTATTGTCCGAGCGACTGAAACACAGTACCAAGGCTTCTATAGTTAGCTGCCTCTCCATTTCGGTCGCCAATATCAGTACTGATGGCAAGCGCTTTTTGGAGATACACTTCAGCCTTGTCATATTGCCCAAGCGACTGAAATACAATACTTAGGTTTCTGTAGTCAGCTGCCTCTCCTTTTCTGTCGCCAATATCAATTCTGATGGCAAGCGCTTTATTGAGATAATCTTCAGCCTTCTCGTACTGCCCGAGAGACGCAAACAAATCACTTAGGATTCCATAAAATGATGCTCTTCCTTTTCTGTCACCCATTTCAGTTATGATGAGAAGCGCTCGCTGGATACCTCGATGGCTTTCTGAATGCGATCTGAGTTTAGCAGGAACAGGGCAACTTAAACGTCGATGCTTATGGAAGCTATCATGGTATCTGCCGTTCGGTTTCCATGGCCATCCTCTCCTGTTCTTAGGGAAATATTATTTTTAGTAACATAAGTTAACCAAATGATTTAATAATGATTCATAACGAGTCACTGCGAACAGGAACTCATATGTGAAGTTGCGAAAACGGGCTGGGTCGATTACACCGGAAACTTTTTGTAACGAGCTGAAAGTGTTAGAAGTGAAAGAACAGAAAAAAGTGAAAAAGAGGCGTGGATAAGTGCAACTGGAGTACATCAATGGATCACATTCGGTGAAACTTGTAAAATTAATTTGACCTGCACAGTTTTTTTGAAAAGTGACTGTGTGACTGTCACGCTGTGAAAGTTAACTGTTATCCAAGTGATCTGTTTTATCTTATAGAGTAAAAAGCCGTTGACGTGGTGTCGGTCTAAGACTGTGAAAGTTCAATTATATATCGCTTCCAGATCTTAGGTTTGCAAGTCGCATTTGCTATCGCCTGTTTCTCAAATTCTTCCATGTAGATGTTAGCTATAACCGCGGAAACAGGGCTTTCCATAGCTACTCCATCGTGAGACAAACAAATAAAGTTCATCTCCTATCTTACACCATGATGAACAATAACCACATATTTCATTACACAGAACTCGACTTAATAGTCACAGGACAGAACAAGACTAAAAAAAAAAAAAAAGACCATCATGTATGCCTTGGTGATAAAAAAGTCACTTATCCCATACGTAATCGTAAAGTTAAAGCTAAAGTTACAATAAATTGAAGTTACTCTGAAAAAGATAGACCGATAAAATTATTGACCCAGTAGCTGATAATTTTGAAAGTGAAACGACAAAAACAATGAAAATTAGTCGACACTTTTTCTTACATTCCGAAACTTCCCGAAGTAATAAGGCCAACCTATGCCATGATTTGTAAGTGTTTTGTTACACGGAAGAGATGAAAAACTTTTAAAAATATCTTGACTAATGTTAGAACCACACAATGCGGTTTTGGACGTTTTTTATCTTACAAAATATCGAAGAATGTTTCGGTTAAAATTTTTAGCAGTAATCCAAATCACAAAGGTGTGTCTGATAGCGTGACGGCAGAAAAAAATATTTTAATCCCCTTTTTCTCACTTTTGTGCAGGGATAAGCCATGAGGTAGTTGAATAGTACCGGGACAATTTCTAAATTTTTAACCAAAGTTGTTTGGGTTTATTGTATAGCCTAACAAAGTAATCGTTCATGAATAATTCAAGACATTTAAACACCAAGATATTTTTTTGGCTTTTCTTGAGAACTATTTTAAAACAATTTCTATGACGAGGTACAAGCCAAACAGTGGTACAAGCCGAATACGGACTTAAATTCTCTGTAGAACCACTTGATTATAACCTTCTTTCTATCAACCCATGAGGGAAACTGTAACTAATAGATGTCATAATATTTTGAAATCCATCTGGCCCAGGACAACTTATGCTCATGATACATTGAAAACCATTTCAGTTCACGACTCATAGTAATTTATTTGGTGGCAAGACAGCATTGAAAGAATCAGACCAAAATATTAGACAATTTAAAAACTCCCGAAAGTGACTGATTCATGTACCTTTTCCCTATAATATCCAAACACTATCCAGCAAACAGAGAATGATAATACTGAAACTTATCAGGCAGAAGTTATCTTGATCTTACATCAAATTCTCATAACTTATTTACAAGTAAATGTGTAGCAACTAGAAGGGAGAATTAACAATCAGATCTTGGGTATTTAAGGGTTAAAGGAAGAGAACAGAAATGCTTCCTCTCAGCTACTGATCTCAACAATGCTAGTCCTTTACACACATTTAAGTTTCTGTCAGTGATAAACATTCTGTGAATTGATATTCCTATTCTTCGCACTCAGAGGCCTTCTGACACAAAGGTTTGCTATACTAGTTCTTATTGCATTGTGTTAACCAATGTTATGACAATATAATTTTGAGATGTAAAGAAGATACTTAAAAGATTGAGAAATATATCCAAATCAAGATATATATTTTATATGCTGTTACAGTTACCATAAGATTTGTTTGAAAGAGAATCTTTCAGACCAATGAATTGTATGAGAAATTAAATTTTTTACAAGACTTCAATCAAAATTTTTGTTATGAGGACAAGTTTGTTAATGATAAAATTTAGTGTCATAGTTCATCTTTGTGTCAAGAACTCTTTTAGTTGGTGAAACTCACTTTTTCTTTTTTTCAATTTGAAGCATCAAATTGATTGATACATAAAGCACACAAAATATTTTTTGAGAGTTCCATTTGGCATCCATAGTGGGTTACTATGCTATCATAAAAAACGAAAACAACAACTACTGAAAACTGCTTTTGTCACAATTACTACCAAATTTGTGTCAGTTTTTGGGTTTGTCATAAGTGAAAACTCTGAAGATACAGTGTCTTGGTTATTTTATTAAGAGCAATTACTTTCCAAGAGTTTCTCTGCTAGGAGTGTTTAAGGCAAGCCATGTTGTAAAAAGGTGATCAGTGAACTTAAAACAATTCAGGTACCTAATAGAAAATTTGTACTAATTTTGCAACAATAGTTACCCTCATCCATAATTCACAGAGAATAAGATAAGTATAGAACGATAAATACTTAGCAAAAATACATGCCTCCGTGCATAAACTTGAAGAGGCAAACCATTGGGGCCATAAAATGTATTTTTTTGGAAGAAAAATTAGGTTCACCGAGATTTCGGCTACGACCATTCATTTTCCTTAAAAATCGAACAATTTTACAGCCCACTCACGAATTTCACCAAAAAGCGCTCACAGAGATTTAACACGAGTCAACCCCAGACTCGTTCTCACGTGTGCGCGGTTGCATGTCCAATATGGCGCTGGGAACTGTAAAAAGGTCTATTCGTACGCAAGACTCCTGGAGCCACGAGTGACCGCAAATTGAAATATGGTCAAATTAGCAAAGTTCATACTAGTTCTCCCGAGATACCTAATGAGCTTTATATGAGTTCAAACTACGAAAACATTGTCAAAACTACGACTACTGACTTATTAAACAACAAACTGCGATGACTATGATGCCCAGACGAACACCTCAGATGTTGAATCAAGCTATTGGATGAAGAAGATACTCAAAGAACCAACTTGAATAGGAAGTACATAGGCTTAACTCTTGTGTTAAATGTCTTGATTCTTTAATTTGTTTTTACTGTGCTCAATACTTGAAAAGTACGATTTGATGTTGCGATACGAAGCCCGCGCGAGTAAACGTTCTCGGAGCAAGTAGGTCGTCTTTACTTGTCTGGAAAAAAGCAATATGACAAGTGAAACGCAATTCATTCCAGAATAAAAAAAAGTTGGATGTAAATTGATTTTTGATAATACATCCGATAGATTGAAATCTTACAGTATTGGCTTAGCGTGCTTTCTTCTTTTCACGTGATGCGTGATTGGTTAAAAAAATTTCTCGTGATGCGTAATTTAATAGAAAAGTTCAGGGTGATGTGTGATGTGTGATGTGTGATTTGAACCCCCCCATTCATCGAATGTAAAGATTGGCGTTGTGTTGAAGAGTCTTCACTTCGCCTTGCCGCAAAGCAGAGTCAATTTTTAACTTTTCGGTAAGTTTGTCCTCTTTTTCCCAGAGGATTTTGCATTTAACTTTTGACGAAAGAATCAGCTGTATCACGAGGCACGACGATTTTCCACAGAGAAGTCATCGGGCAGTTTCACTGCAAGTCGCTCCTTTCCTCGGAGATTGCAAAGGCAGAGGCTATCGTCGCGATCGTCGAGCCGGTCAAACCGAACGGAAAACGAGTGAGTTTTTAGTCATCTGATTCGGGGGTGGAAGCTGAATAATTAATAATGAAAAACGGGTTTAAGTTTTAAAAGTAAATAATGATTAATTGGGTTTGGAAACCTCGGAGTAACGAATAATGTAGTCATGCCAATGGAATAATAAATACCGCTTTTTATTCGATTGTCTTGGTTATGTATTTTCTAATATATCTTCAGAGGCTTTTTTTAAGTGAAATCAACAATGTGCAGAGTAAAACTACAAGAGACGCAAAAAGTCTCCCGCGAAACTTCCGGCCGGAAGTGTTTCGAGTTGTAAGACAACTTCACTGCTTGACAGCTTAACAGGTTTTCTGTCAAATGTCGTGTTATGGCATTGTTTGACGTCTGATTCGCGTGGAAGTTGCTTGGTGGTTATCTTTGTCGAGGTTGTGTCTGGTCGGTTTTCGCAAGGGGCAAAAGCAAAAAAGAGAAAAGAAGAAGTCGCGATCAACAGTAAGGCAATTTTTTATCTATTTTGGTTTGTTACAAACATGCACCGATTTTAAGTCTATTCGAATCTATCTTTTTTATGCTTTTAATATGGTAAACATCTTTGCACCTGAAAGACGGCGCCATTCAAGGCGGTCAACCAGCATCAAACAGATTTTGAGATCGGTTTGTGATACGATGATGACAATAATGAATAGTAAATCCGAAACTTCGAATAAACTTCATCATGACATGAGTACAAAATTTTTTTGACTACTCATCCTTTTTTCTTTCTCCTTATCCAGTCCGCGATCACCGAAGAGACGCCGGAAGGATAAATCGAGGTACGGATTTCTATGCTGTATGGGTATTTCGACGAAATAATCGGAGAATTCCAGTAAGACATTTCCTCGCATCATGATCATAAAGTGGCGCGTATCGCTATTGAGGAACTACTACGTCCAGATCAAGTTAACAATTACAAACGCTGCGAAGCAGTTCCCTTTTAGATCGATTATGATCGAGTAATAGTAAAGAAATTTGGAGAAATTAATTTTGAAAGATGCTGTTTCTTAAATTAGCACCAGAAGTTGAGAGTAACTCAGTTGGAGACGACTTTATTTTTGTGTTGTCCTTTCCAAAATCTCGTACATCCCTACTGGGAATAGACAGCCAAAGTTTAGTACTAAGTTTCCAAGCTTCATGATTTCAACATGGTTTACAAAGATCGCTTTTTTTTCCTGTCAATAATAAGTCGATCGCCGCCGGTGCGGCAACGTACATCA